AAAAAGTTGGTGGAAACTATAAAAGTCAACCAACATGTCAAAGACAAATCAGTTTAAATTTGTCTCACAAGGTGTTAACACCTCAGAATTGCCTGTTCCTGAAAAAACTAGGTCTAAAAGTTATACCTCAAGGAAAACGCCAAGACAAATAATTTATATATTTTTTGGGTGTTGTTGCAACAAAAATGGACGAAATTCTCAACATTCCAGCAGCAGTGAATTTTGATGAGTCAATAGCTCATTATGAAATTCATGCTCATCAACCGTATGCTTCATCCTCTTTTAACAATAGTGATGAAATTCGAATTGCAGTTCAACATCAAGATTTATGTATTCTACCGAGTAAAAGTTCATTGCACATATTTGGAAAATTGACTAAAAATGATGGTATTGCCGTTACAGAAAACGTGCACTTGAGTAGCAATGCAATATGTTTTTTATTTGATGAAATTCGCTATGAATTAAATGGTATCGAGATTGATCGATGCAAATACGTTGGACATACAACTATAATGAAAAATTTAGTATCTCTGACTCCACCTCAGCTAAATCTAAGTGAGAATGCAGGGTTTTCAAAAATTTCAGCTGATGCAAGAATTACTTTAGAAAATGGATATTTTGATGTTACAATACCACTTGGCATGATTTTTGGTTTTGCTGAGGATTATAAGAAAATTCTTATGAACGCTAAACATGAACTTATTTTAACAAGAGCACGTAATGATACTAATGCTATAATACAAACAGGACAAGGAGCTGATGAAGAATTTAAAATTTTCATCAATAAACTAGAATGGATGGTACCATACGTTTTACCAGCTGATAATAATAAAATAAAATTATTAAAATTCATTGAAAAAGATCCTTTAATTTCAATAAGTTTTCGATCATGGGAAATGTACGAGTATCCGTTAGTTCCAACAAGTTCAAAAGTCCTATGGCAAATAAAAACATCAACACAATTGGAGAAACCACGATATGTAATTGTAGGATTTCAAACAGCAAGAAAAGATAAACGAAAAAAATATGCCTGTCATTTTGATCATTGTAACATTACAAATGTTAAACTATTTTTAAATTCACAATATTACCCTTATGGAAATTTAAATCTAAACTTTGATCAAAATCAGTATGCTCTTCTTTATGAAATGTATGCTAATTTTCAAACATCTTACTATGGAAAAGACTCAGAACCTATTTTAACAAGGGCTATTTTTAAACAACTATTTCCTCTAATTGTTATTGATTGTTCAAAACAAAATGAGTTTCTTAAACAAGCATCAGTAGATGTACGTTTAGAATTTGAATCAGGAAATAATATGCCAGCTGAGACCACTGCATATTGCCTCATTATTCATGACCGCGTTGTACAATATAAACCAATCAGCGGCGTCGTCAAGAAGTTGCTGTAGAGGAGTGGGGGTAAAGTGGTGGGGGTATAATTCGGTATAAATGCAGTAGTTTTCAGTCAAAAATTCATTTCTGTTTCAACATGGAGTTCATTGTGGACGTTCAAGGATTTAAAAGACCCTACAACGATTTTATTTTCAAAGAGTTGGCAATACTTCCTCTTCAATCAGATGCTCAACCACTTGTCTACCTATTTGAATCACCTTGTACGTGGAATTCATTGCCAGGACGCTATAAAAGTGAAAATCGCTGGTTAACACACAATTACCATGGAATAGATTGGACAGCTGGAGACGTCTCTTACGATGAACTTCGTCCCATTCTACAAGATGTATTACGAGGCGCTAGTATCATCTATGTAAAAGGATTAGAAAAGAAGACATGGCTTGAGAAATATATACAAAATGTACAAAATTTAGAAGATTTTGAATGTCCATCGTTGAAAAAAATTAAAAGTGATTTGTTAACATGTACGCATCATACTCTTTATAATGATAATTGTGCTGTAAAAAATGTAAAGATTCTTCGCGATTGGTTTTTGGATCCTCCAAACCAATATATAAGTAGTATTGTTAAAGAAACTGATGAAGTTGATTCTACGTTAAAATGTTTTTATGAAAATTATAAATCATTTTTGTAAATAGTTTTTAAACGTTTCTAAAAAAATAAACATTAATAACATTGAATTCAAAATATGTTGTTTTTTAATTTTAAACCTTTTTTTAATAAATTAAACATTATTTTACAATACCTGAAAATAAACTTATTCTACTACTTAACTTCTACTAGGGAGAGGAAAGAAAATTAAAAACCAATTTTATAGATAAAATTTTTCTGTATTTTTCAACATTTTTTTTTATATACATACATTTATTTTACAATTTTTATTTTACAAATTGAAATTCAACGATATTGTAAGTTCCTCCGACATATTTCATTTGAAGCTGCTTGGCTATTGCTGCTTCCTGCATCATTTCCAGCGAGCTTGGTTCATCGTCAAAATGCTTGGCGAATCTCGATGGTAAATATGTTATAAAATCTGCATTTACTTCAACAATTATTCTCGGTCCGTATTTGGTTTGAACCTTCTTCATTTTGGTGATATAATAAAGACCATTTTTAGTCATTTCTGCGAGAGGTTTTGTAGGCAGGTAACCTTCAAATCGACCAACTGCATTAACTTTTTCGAGATCCATTTTTTTAAAATAAAAGACAGGATAAAAAACTCTGAAATTAAAAAAGTAACCCTGTAATAGCTAAAAATAGAATTATAAATAAAAATGCTAAATGGAAAAAAAACTTGAAAAAAGTTAAAACTAGAAATACCTGCAATAAAAGTACTGTAAATGAGTGAGAAGTCTATAATTATTAATACTAGGGAGTCCTGAAAAAAAAGAATGACTCCAGTGGCTCGGCATCGCCTTATATTATCGGTACCCCACTTTTTTTTATAAACCCCACCACATATTGTGATGCGCACGCAAATATGACCCGCCCCCTTCAATAAATGCAAGACGCTCGTATAATGCGCGCGCAGATTTAACGTTCAACCTTATATGCGCAGGCGCAGGTGTATACCAAAATTGGTGTGAAATACAAAATATTTTCGGCTTTGAATAGAAAAAATTTGATACTCTAATAATATTAAAAAATTTCTCTATTTTCACATATAAAATTTAGTTTTCACAATTTGGTAACATGTTTGGAGAAGGTGTAGCAGGTCTTAAAAAGTCTACAACAAAATTTACATTGAAATCTACATCAATAACATTGTACATCTCTTCAATTGGTGGCAGTTCTTCTAAAAGCTCTAACATCTAGAACAAGAAAAAAAATATGTACATATTCTTTTATAAATCATAATTTACGAGGATTTTAAATTTGATTTTGAAAACTAACCTCTTCTGGGTCAACGTCTATTATTAAGCAGTCTGAATCATTATCAGAATTATGGGAGACATCTGACTGTGAGTCAGAGTCATTTATAATAATTGAGTCAGAGTCACTTATAATAATTGTGTCTGCCTGACTGTCATTATTGTCGTCCACGATGGTGACTTCATCATTATTTATAGGAACCTCATCATAGATATCGATAATTGGATGGTCCTCATCCTCTTCATTTTTTGTGTTATGAGGGGAATCCATTTTTAAAAATTATAAAAGAAAATTTAAATTGCTAAAAATATACTTATGTGATAAAAACGCTTATGAGAAATATTAGACAAATTAAATATGAAAACTGAAAAAAAAGAAAGCTGAAAGGAGAAATTTATTTTGATCTGAATTCTAGAAAGCTGAAAGAAAGAATGATTTCTCCGAGAAGTGAGTTCTATTGCTATACCGTTAATCCCCACCATGGTCAATCCCCACCCATACTTCATCTTAGCTCTTGCATGCGACACCTGCCGTAACTAATATTAATGCGCGGGAAATTTTAAAATTGTATAATTAATTTTTCTAAACAAAACTTATTTATACACAAAATACTAAAAAAAAAAAAAAAAAAAAAATGCAACATAATAAACTATAATTTTTAGGAAAAAATACATATTTCATTTATTATTATTCATTCTTAAAAGAATACAACACAAAATACATTTCACTTCTTAGAAAATATATATGATTTTTTTAAACAATCTCACATAGATATATATGTTTAAAATAGACAAACAGTTTTTTTCCTATCAACGACTCGTTGAATTATTAAACTCAATAAAAACAGCTGATTCACCATAAGAGCAGTGATTAACTACTAATACTTTTACCCGAAATGTATGTTTGAAATAGACAAACATTTTTTTCTGTTTTATTAACACATTGAAATTTTTCTTTTTTTTCAATTAAAAAAAATAAAACGCAAAATATATTACACTTCTTAGAAAATAAACTACTCTTTTAAACAATCTCACATAGATATATGTTTGAAATAGACAAACAATTTTTTTTCTCCATTAACGACGCGTTGAAATTATTCAACTTAATAACAAAAATACATTTCACTTCTTAGAAAATAAACTACTCTTTTAAACAATCCCACATAGATATATGTTTGAAATAGACAAACAATTTTTTTTTCTCTATTAACGACGCGTTGAAATTATTCAACTTAATAACAAAAATACATTTCACTTCTTAGAAAATAAACTACTCTTTTAAACAATCTCACATAGATATATGTTTGAAATAGACAAACAATTTTTTTTTCTCTATTAACGACGCGTTGAAATTATTCAACTTAATAGCAAAAATACATTTCACTTCTTAAAAAAATAAACGATTCTTTTAAACAATCTTAAATAGGTATATGTTTGAAATAGACAAACAATTTTTTTTTTCTCTATTAACGACGCGTTGAAATTATTCAACTTAATAGCAAAAATACATTTCACTTCTTAAAAAATAAACGATTCTTTTAAACAATCTTAAATAGGTATATGTTTGAAATAGACAAACATGTTTTCTAGTTTTTTTAAAGAATACGGTAAACTTTTCAACGTGCTGTTTATAAAAGAAGAAGAAAAATTCTAAATTTTATTTTTAAAAAAAATATATAAAAAAAATTAGTCTAAAAAAAACAAAATCGAGAATAAAAAACTTATTTTTCCTTACTTAGGACATTTTCTTTATCAGCTGCCGATTTTAATTTTTTTGTACCCGTTGGGATTTTGCGGTGATGAGCAATCCTCTTCTTTTTTACACATGGATCCTGGTCGAGAAAAATTGTTTTAGATTCTGCTTGAGCTTGTGAAATTGAAGCAATCGCTGATGCCAGCTCTGCATTTGAGATTTGTATTTTTGACACTGAAGAAAGATTTTTGGATATTGATGATTTTGGTGAATTTGAATATTTTGACTTTTTTGCGGTCGATGGTGTTGGTGAAACAGATTGATATGATTTAATATTTTGTGGATTTTGTGAATTTAACGCTGCATTTCGCAATTCAGTTAGTGAGTTCGATGTTTTGGAAGAAGATGATGAATCTGACGAAGACTCTCCAGAACATGATTTTACTGGTGATGTGAGTATTTTAGCATTTTTATCATTTTGCAAAACAGCAGATTTTTCCTTGATATTATTTGTTTTTTCTATTGGTGTTGGAATATATTCCGTTTTTTCATTATTTTTCATTGTTGAAGATGGCTCATATTCAGCTGTGCTCCATCTGCTTGGTTTCTGACGTAAAGATATATTTTTCACCTTTTCCTATTAAAAATGTATATTTTTTAACATATTTTTCTTTAAAAAAAAAATTATTTTCACACTTGATATGTAAATATTTTGTAGATTAAGCTCAAATTTTGTAGAGTACTCAAAAAGCAAAAATATTAATATTCTATCAAAACTTTATTTTTTAAAAATTGTATATGTCAAGAAAAATTCAATACGATTTTAATCACTGTCACAAAAAAAATGCAATTTTTTAACATAAATTTTTAAAACAATGTTAATATAATCTTGCACATGACAACGACTTATACTATTTTTTAATTCTCTACAAAATTTTAGCGCAATCTGTCAAAAATTTGATAAAAAAAACTTGTAAAGAATATTTACATGTCAAAACACAAAAAAAAAAATCAAATATAACATATAACAAAACATATATAACTATAAAATATATATAAAATTCTTTTATTTATTAAAAAAAAAAAAATTAAAAAAAAATTGTTTTTTATTAAAAGCTGTAAAAATACTTACATCTTGCTGACCAAAATTCGCTGGTCGTTGATTTACTTGTTGATTTACTTGTTGATTTACTTGTTGATTTACTTGTTGATTTACTTGTTGCTGTGGTAAATTATAAGGATGATGATGTGTTTGGTTTTGAATATTAGTCCATGGTCTTGCTTGTCGTTGCTGCTGATTTTGGTTTTGATTTCCATGATGCATAGAGGGTCGTTGATGTGGTTGCTGATATTGAATGCCTGGATGTAAATGTTGTCGTTGATGTTGCTGATTTGGCAGATGTTGCGGCTGATATTGAATTACTGGATGTAAATGTTGTCGTAGATGTTGCTGATTTAAATTTTGTGACCACTGGCCAACTCCATGATCAGTCTGTAAAAAAAAAAAAAAAAACATTAAATTTTTTTTATTAATTAGTATATATATATATATATATATATATATATATTTTTTTTTGGTAAGAAATATTTTTCAAATTATTTATTTATTTGTGTGCGTAAATTTTGTAAATATATTACTTATTCTGTTTCAATAAAGTCTTTTACAATATTTAATTAGAATCAAAAATTTCCTACGTTTAATAAAATATCCATTACTAAATTTAGAATGATTATATAATTTAATTCTGTATACCACATGTTTACAAATATTTGATATTGACTTTAACGACTAAATCGTAGATAGGGATATACATTTCATTTCACTGACAAAATAAAAAAAAACTTTATATATCCTTTAAGAGTTTAGCGGTCATTTGGGAAAATATATTTACTATCAAATATTTGTAAACATGTCGTATACAGAATTAAATTATATAACTATTCTAAATTTAGTAATGGATATTTTATTAAACGTAGGAAATTTTTGATTTTAATTAAATATCACAAAATCATTGTTAAAACAGAAAACAAATGTTATTAACCTTAAAATTTTACTTGTAATTATTATTATTAATTTTACTTACAATTTGAGATATTAATGTTAAGAGATTGCACAGGCAGCAACTACCGCAGAAATTTCTAGTCTGATTGAAATTCTGAAACAAGGAAAATATATTTATAAAGTTTTTATATACGTGACGCTCCGGGAGAGAAAGAACCTTATTTACTCTTTAGGTAAGGTCCCTTCTCTCGTAGAGCGTCACATATATTCGAATCTACATTGATGTTTTTTTATGAAAATATTAATATATATATATATATATATATATATAAAATATTAATTATTACAATAATAAATTATTACCATTTTTTGACTGGTTTTTTCACTTGCACCGGCGAACGCAAACGGCATGGCACTGAGCGAACAGCAAACAAATCACTGCTGCCAACTTGACACAATACACGAATTTCACTTTGATTTCTAAAGCAGCATTGTGATTGGCTGGCTTAAATACAACTTTATATTTCTAAATTATCATTTTCTAATGTGCTCCAACCATAGTGTTCTAATGACATCTGATAGATATCGCATTGCCGGTATAAGTAAAAAATTAGATCTTAATTTTAGATTTCATAATTTTAATCAAAATAGAAATTTTTGTGGGAGCTGCAATCTTTTGAACATAATTTTTCATATTTGTAAGCAAAATTAATAAATATCAATATATTTACTACATAATGAGATTTACTGAGATAATTGATAAATATATCGATAATTGAAGTGGCGCCGTCTAACAGAGGCAGCCGGTAATTAAGGCGGAAAAATTTGAAAAATACCTGCAAGCAAGCTATTATTATCGGACCATAAAATTAAAGTTAAGCAGTATATTGGTGGACATTGGGAATACTACATGGGTAAAAAAAAAAAAAAAGGAAATTTAAAAAATCTGAGCGACTTTAAAATTATGAAAAAAAAAAAATTTTATACAACACCAAGCCACATTAAATTGAATGTTTAAATTAAGTTGCGCCACCTATCGGTAATAGCTGGAACAAAAAAATTGTAGGTAAATGGGTGGAAAATTTTAAAAATCTAAGCTACTTGAAATTAAAAAAAAATTTACACAAAAACAAGCCATATTTAATTGCATGTTTAAATTAAGTTTAAACACCTATAGGTAATAGTTAAAACAAAAAATTGTAGATAAATAGGCGGGAAATTTAAAATTCCTCCAATAAACTATTAATTGAATTTAAAAATAAAATGGCGCCATCTTGCGGTGGCAGCTGGAACTAACTCGATCGGTAATTTAAGCGGGAAATTTAAAAACCCCCACTTTAAATTAATAGAAAAAAATAATTTTAAATTTAGCGTAAAAATAAAATAGCGCCATCTTGCGGTGGCAGCTGGAACTAACTCGGTCGGTAATGTAGAACACCAAGCCACTTGAACACAAAAGTTTAAAAATTCAAATTTCCCGCCAAGGGGGTTTGAATTGGCCGGTAATCGAAAGTGGCGCCATCTTGCGGTGGCAGCTGGAACTAACTCGGTTGGTAAAGTAGAACACCAATCCACTTTAAAAATTCAAATTTCCCGCCAAGGGGGTTTGAATTGGCCGGTGGCGCCATCTAGCGGTGGCAGCCTGAACTAACTCGGTCGGTAAAGTAGATTTCTACATTACCGACCTCGGTCGGTAAGTGAGCCAGAACCCGCCTTGTTACACTACTAATATTGTTTTTTTTATTTCAGGTATTGAAAGTTGAAAATAATCAAATTTCATTGAAAGAAATAAAATCCGTAACTTTTATTTCCTTCCTTGAATCAACGTTGGTAACTTTAGTTTAATCATTATTTTTAAGAAAAAATAATATTTTCTCATCGTGATATTATTTTTGGCTGAAAATAATTTTTTCGAAAAAAAATTTGGAAGAAAAATATTTTTCTCATCGCGATAATTTTTTTGGACTAAGAATATTCTTTTGTCAAATTTTCGTAATAAAAAAAAATTAATTAAATATTTAAAAATTAGTTCATTAATTTTGATACTACGAAAATTTTACAAAAAATTATTCGTATAGCACAAAAAAAGTATCACGATGAGAAAATAATTTTTATTTACTGAGAAAAGTTGAGAAAAAATTTATTCCTAGTCCAAAAAAATTATAACGATAAGAATATAATTATTTTTGAAAATTTTGTTCCTTAAAATATTATATGTGGCCCAAAAATAATAATAAAACTGAAGTTACCAGCGTTGATTTAACAAAAAAAATAAAAGTTACGGATTCTAAATCTCATTATTAAAATTTGATTATTTTAAACACTCCAAAACCTGAAATAAAAACAAAATTATCGTTTTGTCACGGATTTTTTGAAAATCTTTAAATTTCAAGAGAATTGCAATTTTCTTGCCTCAGAAAATTTGTTTCTCCTTTGATAATTATTTTTTTTAATGCTTGAATCAAATTAAAAAATAAAAAATTGATTCCGACGCGAGAAAAACAGTACTAATAATTTTTTTGTAACGGTTTTACGAAAATCTCAAAATTTCAAAAAAATTACTATTTTCCAGACTTGGAAGCAATTTTTCTGTTTTTTGAAAGGTTTATAGCATTACAAATAAATAATTACCAAAAAAGATTATTGGCTAAGCGATGAAATAGAATTTTACTTAAAATTTCAAATTTTCGTAAAATTAGTGACAAAACAATGATAAATATTGTTTTCCGTGTGTTGGAAGCAATTTTTCTGTTTTTTAAATTGCTTCTAGCATTGTAATTTTAACAAATAATTATGAAACGATAAAAATTTTTTCCGAAGGAAAAAAATTGCAATTAACTTAAAATTTTGAGATTATCGGAAAATCCATGCCAAAACAATAATTTTGTTTTTATATCAGGTCTTGGAGGGTTGAAAATAAACAAATTTGATTAATGAGAATTCTCTCATCGTGATACATTTTTAGGCTATCTAAAATTTTTTGTCAAATTTTCGTATTAAAAAAATTAATGAACTAATTATTAAGTTATTTAGTTAATTAATTTTTTTATAACGAAAATTTGACAAAAAAATTATTCTTAGTACCATAAAAATTATCCCTATGAGAATAATATTTTTTTTTCAAATTTTCTTTAGAAAAAAATTATTTTTAGCCCAAAAATAATATCACGCTAAGAAAATAATTTTTTTATCAAATTTTCTCTTAAAAAAATTGATTAACTAAATAACGTCATAGTTAGTTAATTAATTTTTTTTACTACAAAAATTTAACAAAAAATTATTCATTGCTCAAAAAAATTACCACGATGGGAAAGTAGATTTTATTTTTAGATAAAATTTGACAAAAAAATTTTTTTCTCATCGTGATATTTTTTTGACCACAAATAATAATTAATAAATTTGTATAGTAAAAAAAAATTAAGTTATTATAACGTTATTAAGTTAATTAATTTTTTTCCAGAGAAAATTTCACATATAAATTTTTTTCTCATTGTGATATTAATTTTGGGCCACAAATAATTTTTTTAGAAAGAAAATTTGTAAAAAAAATGTGTTCTAATCGCGATAATTTTTTTAGCTAAGAATAATTTTGTCAAATTCTCGTATTAAAAAAAAATAATTAACTAATTAACTAAATAATTAGTTTCTTAAATTTTTTTTTAATATGATAACACAGGCCTACAAAATTTTCGATTTTGTCAGACCCAGAATCCGGACTAGTCATTTTTCATGTAATTTTTCACGCTGAATCCAAAAATGACTGCGAAATTGGTCTATCACGTCAGGATTTTGAGATATTCTAACCTGAAAGCGTGAAAAAGACCGTTTTTGGCAACATTCAACCATCTATAAAATCTTTAAAAAAATTTTTTAAACATAGGTCCAAATTTTTAAAGAAAGTACTACTATTCACCTTTCAAAATTTTCTTGGCCCTTTCCGATCCGATTTCTTTTCACTGAGATACAGCCATTTGAGTTTTATGTTACACAACCTAAAAACTTTTTAAAAAAGGAAAAATAAAATTGCAAAGAACTTCAACTAAAACTCGTTACTAGGTGGGGTTTTTGGGGTCGCTGATTGCAATTTTAATGTCAGATTTTAGAAACTAAAAATTTCGGATTCAATATGGCGGATATTTTTTTAAATTCAACTGATTCGCTTGAAAATCGCGTAACTTGGGAGTATTTTAGATCTTTGATGACGATTCTGATAGCAGCCGTATTGGATCCGCCATTTTTTCGAAAATCTGGCATCGTTATCGTAATCAGCTACCTCGAAATCCCCCGAGTAACAAGTTTCAATTTAAGTACTTAGTTTTCCTTTTTTTAGGGTTTTCAGGTCGTGTAACGCAAAATTTAAATTGTTGTATCTGAGTGAAAAAAAATCGGATTTGAACGGGCCAAGAAAATTTTAAAAGGCAAATAGTAGTACTTTCTTTAGAAAATTGAACCAACGCTTAAAAATTTTTTTGGAGATTTTATAGATGATTGAATGTTGCCAAAAACGGCCTTTTTCACGCTTTTAGGTTAGAATATCTCGAAATCCGGACGTGATAGAGCAGTTTTGCTCTCATTTTTGGATTCAGCGTGAAAAATTACATGGGAAATGACTATTCCGATTTCTGGGTCTAAAATTTGTAGGTCTGTGTAATTTGACAAAAAATTATTCTAGTCTAAAAAAATTATCATGATGAGTAAATTAATTTTTTTTTCAAATTTTATTCCTAAAATAATTATTTGTGGCACAAAAATAATAATGAAACTGAAGTTATCAATGTTGATTTAAAAAAATTAAGGATTAAAATTCTCATTAATAAAATTTAATTATTTTCAACCGTCCAAAAACCTGAAATAAAAAAAATATATTTATCATTGTTTTGTCACGGATTTTCCAAAAATCTAGAAATTTCAAGTAAATTAAAATTTCCTCGCTTAGCCAGCAATTGTTTTTGATAATTATTTATTTAAATTGTAGAAGCCTTTTAAAAAACAGAAGAACTGCTTCTGTCGCGAGGAAAACAATTATTTTAAAATTGTTTTGTCACGGGTGTCTTGGGATCATTGGGAGCGTCAATTATTATCAAACGAGAATAATTGCCTCCGAGGCGACAAAATAGCAATTAAGTTAAATTTCGTGATTTTCGGAATATCAGTGACAAAAGAATGATAAATTTTGTTTTTGTTTGTATTTCAGGTTTTGAAGGGTTGAAAATAATCAAATGTCATTGATGAGAATTAGAATCTTTAACTTTTTTTCGTTGAATCAACGTTGGTAACTTCAGTTTCATAAATAATATCACGTTGAGAGAATAATTTTTTCCTTAAATTTTCTTTGTAAAAAAATTATCACGATGAGAAAGTAATCAATGAAATTTGAATATTTTCAACCGTCCAAAACCTAAAATAAAAAA